TTTCATTGTAGAAGAATACGGTAAGAATTCAATAAAGACATTGTTGAAAGTACAAAATTTTGAAATTAAAGTCAAATTCCTTTTCATGCTAGGTACACAAAGAACATTGTTTTAAAAAATAAATAAATAAATCGAGTATTTAAAGTTTTGAAAGTGGTGGAACTAGCATGGGTTATGAGAAGACCCGTACTATCTCCAATCATAATGTCATCGAAGGCATTGGAAGGTGAATGATATGATAAAATACTTAGGTCGAAGGTGATGTGATGAAAAGCATCGTTATCTAGTGAGCCATGTTAGAGGATCGGAGGTGTTGGCAGCAAAGTTTGCTTTGGGTTGCCATAAAGAGTTTAACATTGTTGGAGTGGTAGTGTTGGAGGACCGAACCAAGATGAATCAAAATGAGGGGTAGCGCTCGGTAATGTGTCTTTAGATTTTACGAATTTGACAATTGTCAAAGTAATGTTTTGAAGGGCCATGATCGGATCCGGAATTCAAACTTGTATTGTCATGGGTAGTAGTTTGAGGATGAAAGTTAGCCATTGTTATTGGCTAAGTTTTGACTAGAATTTAATGAGTTGTGCTCCTCATTATTTATGCGATTTGCTAGATTAGTAATAGCTGGAAAATAAGAAGATTCAACTTTGTTGGTACCTTGTAGAGATGTTTTAATGTTTGAAGCTTCTCATGAAGTTCATCAAATGAGATTGGAATGTCTTTAGCTTCATCTCGTATGAACTAATTCCTTTTAATCATCTCTAAGTCACTCTAGAATTCTATTCGAAAGATCTTCATCATCTATTGGTGCACTAAGGATTGCAAGTTCATCGACTTTAACTTTCGAGAGTCCGAAGAAATTTAGTAATACCAATGGATCTTTTACTTAGCCGCTTTAATTGGTTTTTCACCCGCTTGATTCGCCGACGTTATGGTTTGGCCTAGGTGTTGGCCAAACTTCTCTATATGTTTTTGTTTGAGTAATGAATGGAATTATTGTGAGGGATAGAGAACCAAGAATTGTATTAAAAATGAGTTGATCTTGTCCGATCCAGATTGTATGTTCTTGATTTAGTGTATTGGTGCTACCGTTAGTGTTATTTGAGTAAGGCTTGGATGTGTGAATGCAGACTTAAGAGATCATACCCGATAGGTAAGTTTTATTATATTATAATTCTCAAGATACATAATTGCTTGAGGCAAGTTTTAATAGAGTTTGAGCCGCAACATTAATTCTTATTAATGTGCTATGAGAATCATTTGTGTCGTGGATGGTGGAGTTGTTGTTGGTAGTCATTTAAAAAAGAGAAAAAAGGATATATGTTATCAGTTTATAGCAAAAAAAAGTCGTAAGTGTTTTTTTATTTACAAATAGTTAGTATTTTTGAATTAATTTTCACATCAATTGAGATTAAATTCACTTTTCTTCCAACCAAATTAATATCATAACACACGTTGTTGTTATTATTAAAAAATAATTACAACTAATCACTTTATGATAAAAAAATAATTATAACCGATTATCCGGTTAGAATTCCGGGCCCAATGGAAAATAACGAAGTAGTCAATAACTCTCGGTTATCGAGGTGGGCAATCCTTTTTCTTATCCAAGCATGACGCATTACCCAGAAGAAGTTAAGAACCTCATAGGGTGGCAACGACAATGGATCGATCAGTAATTGCTTGTTGCAAACAATTACCTGGGTTGATGGAAAGTGGACACATGACACATGGCATGAACAACACGTCGATCTGATAGGAATCACGACCGACGGTCAGTTTCACCATATAAACACGGTAGAGTTTAATTGTCATCACTAGTAGATGTTGGATGATTTGGGAGATAGCGTTTGATTGGGTTCTGCATTTCACACTAGGCCGCTTGTACTTCTTTTGGAGCTCTAGTGTAAACGGGGTCCAATAAAAGTCCAGGTTAGGTCGACTCCAGTGTTTCCCTTTTGACTGCGCTCTTGTCTTGTGAGTATGGTCTTGGGAAAAGCGTATGGTGCTTGTGAGGCAGACGTTCGTTCACAGACCACTAAGTTATAGAACAGTGATTACGGACCCAATAATTGGAGGACCCATCTGTAAAAAATAAAAAAAATAAAAAAATCTAACCTTTAAGACTCAACTCAGACATCATCCAACGTTGGAGAGACTACGGAAAAAAAATAAAAAAATTATGGAACACCAATATGAATAACATATTTAAGATCCATGCACTATAGTCCTAAGAACACCCGAACAAAAGCCAACCACTGTTTCTTCCTATTTATTGGTACTGAAATAGATCGATGATCCCATTCCAAATCAGGTAATAAATTGAAAGTGTAAGAACCGTGGTGTACAAAATTAAAGGATATAGGTTGAGATCAATTTTCAAAATTTGAGAGACCATATGATGATTGTCCCTTCTACTTGTGAATCGATTTTCTAATTTTTATGAATTAATAATCTTTTGTCTTCGCTCCTTCGTCATTCATCCAAAAGACAAATAATACATTCTTCTTGGCATCTCCCCCTTATTTGTTAAATATTGTTTGGCTGAAAATGGTGCTCGCCAACCATTTGTTAATTTAGACGCTTCACTATCTGATTGGCCTTATATTTCCTCCGACCCTACATTTATTATTTCCTTTTCTTTTTCTTTTTGTTTATGATTGGTTCATGTCAGAATGGATGGAGAAAAAAAGAAGCTAATCTAGACACGAAAATAGCTTAAATATATTCTTACCGTTAAAAAGTGTATATATATATATATATATATATATATATATTTATTTATTTATTTATTTATTCTTCTTTGATATAACAATAACAATAATATTATTATGTTTTTAATAATTTATTTTTAAAAAGCTGGATTCTTTAATAAGATAACCCTCTCTCTTTAATGTCTTTTACCTCATGTATTGCAAACAATGTCAAAGAATATTATTTGTAAATCAATGGTCGTCCCCGATTTGGGTTCTTCCACAATATTCCACCTTTACTATTTTCATAATTAAAACATATTTGAGTTCTTATTATTTTTGATAGCTTGAAACCAGAACGGGATTGGATGAGAGAAACCACTCATCTAGGCCAATCTGGTTGCGTGCGGAGCTTATGTCAGTCAATCAGTGGAGATTTACAAGATTCAAGTCTTCGTCTTGACTTCGATGGAAGAGTTTTACTTTCTACAACTGACCTAGCCTTAAGTTTGTCTGGCTTTAATTCAAGTCATCAGTGATTAATCACGATGAAGCTAAAAGCAAAACAAAGATTATGATGAACTAATCATGCTCTGACACTCTAAATTTCATTTTGACCGCTGTTTAAGTGAATAAAATTATAAAATTGTCATGTCATCAATTATTGAAAATTCGATGAGCACACATGAACATATTCAAAGCTTAATCATATTCAACACGGTGAGGAGATTAGTAAGGAATAATTAGGCTTAGCTAAATCAGTATTCAACAATTATGAGGATTTTTAGGACACATAAAGGAGGGCACAATAAGTATATATATATTGTATAGGATCTTTCATATATACCTCCTCAACATATACTCGATTAATTTCCAATTAATATTCTCCTAGCTAGCAAGGTTTTCTAATGTTCATAATTGATGATTTTTAGATTAACATCGATGGATAGATGATTTTCATTCTATACTGATCGTATGATTAATATAACTTTTGTACATTAAATGAATAATGAATACTTACAAAATAAGTAATTTTTTAACGTTTTAAGAACCATTTGATAATTAAATTAATTTATAAAGAGAGGTGTATTGTATTAAATAAGTTTTAAAGTTTTTTTTATATATCAAATATGTAATAATATACTTGTTTTGAACTTACAAAACAAAACTTGTAACATTTAATCAAGTCATTTGTATATATGAAAAGTTGGTGATTAATTAGTCTGAGATGGATGTAGAATTGTCTTTTTCCTTGGGTTCCATAGTTTTTGAAATTTATTTTGGAGAAAACTATTTTTCATATAAATTTTTTATTATTTTGACAGTTGTAGGACTTTTATAATCGTAATTGATGAGATTAATGCTGTTTAAAAAATATATTTTTATTTAATAAGAAATTTTCTATCGCATGATTAATAGTGAATGATAGAGAAAGCAATCAAAGGTCGTTTTGTATGAATGCCTTCATAGGCCAATTGACGAGAAAAATTGAGTTTTTTTTTTCTTTCTTAAATACTGTTGGAACGGGATTAAATAAGTACAACACCATCCCGCTAGCATGTTCATTCAAATATAATATATCTGTAGAGCTATTAATTCCCTATTACTCAAGTTAATGAAAAATCCTTGAGTTAATTAATGAATCCTTGGGATTTTAAAAACTATATATTTAATTCGTTTATTGTTATATATGTTTATTATTTGGTTTTATTATCAATTTCTTTTTTTAAAAAAAATAGAAAAGACAAAGGAGAAATGAGTAAGATAAAAAAAATTGATTAGATAAGAGGATATTTTTGAAAAGACAAAAAAAAAAAAAAAAAAACCTAAATCGAAGACGGTCAATGTTACCAATAAGCTATTTAGTTATTTTTAATATTGTAATTACTAAATAATTTGTTTAATAAACTACAAATATTAAGCTGTAATTAGTTCATAATTCCGATGCGTATATGTGTGAAACGCCTGACTAGGCTGCAAGGTGAAATAGTTTCCCCATATTTTTATAAAGACTAATAATTGGACACAGAATTAGTCAAAGTTTAGATTATCAAAACAAGAAAAGGGTACGAAGTTTCCTAGGTACGTACTCGACAGATTTTACCATTTCATATATATATATTCTCCCATTCATACTTGACCAATCATACATAAATTTACAAAACAAAATGAGAACCAAAAAATATACGCAGTCTTGACATTTTCTTTCAAAAACTATGTACTTCTATTCTTCGTCACCCGTATATATCTTCCACATGAAAGTATTTATTTAAACAGAAAAACAAAAGCGAGGGAGAGTTGGGGGTCACAATGAGCGATGGAATATTGGAGAGGGCTCTAAAGAGCCTTGGAAGGGGATTCGACTTGACGTCGGATTTCAGACTCAAGTTCTGCAAAGGAGAAAAAAGATTGGTTTTCCTTAATGAAGCAGAGAAAAAAGAGCTCAAGGTACCTGGTTTTGGGGACATCAAAGATGTTTCTATTGATATAAAGTGTGATAAAGGTGATCGTGTTCGATATCAATCAGACATCCTTGAGTTCCATCAGGTATTTTATTAGTCTTGAAGAGAATTTCTGTTCTTAATTCTTGCCACTGGTGTCGATATGTGGGGTTATAAATTTATGAGTAGTGAAATATGCAGATGTCAGAGTTGTTCAACCAAAAAGCATCGGTGCAAGGAAAAATCCCATCAGGGCGGTTTAACTCCATGTTTGGATTTGAAAGTGGTACATGGGCAGCTGATGCAGCTAACACCAAATGTTTGGGACTTGATGGTTACTTCATAATTCTATTCAATTTTCATATTGATCGCTATCCGCTTGTTCTCTGTGATGAAGTCCGAAATGCTGTTCCATCGTCCTGGGATCCATGTGCTATAGCAAGGTATTCAACTTCTTCATTTTTCTTTTTTATTTTTTCTCTTGAATAAATTATTGAACATATTAATCAGAATGATCAAAAGCAGGATATATAATTGTAAATACATACAAAGATGAACTGTTGCTTGTTTGCTTGCTCCGTATTTATCAACTTGAGCTTGGAAACAGAATAACATTTTTTTTATTCTTGCACCAAAGCTAAAGTTGAATTGGCCGAACAAGATTGGAAGACTTCTTTTCGTTGCCATTTGAACTGTTGACATTTGATTAATTTATTTGTTATTTTTTTTTTATGAATTATTTTGGACCAAACTTTTTAAATCTGCCCATGTCTTTATGTCAACTATTCACTTTATGTCAATTATTCAATTTTGGTCCATTAGCCTTTGTGTTTTCTAGTTTTCGTTATTTTTAATCTTAAGATCACAGTTAGCTACTTACTTTCTTTTTGCTGGACAACTTAAGCATACAATTCCCTTTCTAGCTATTTTCCTTTTCCTTAATTTTTTTTTCTAAAGAAGATTAAAGCTCTTGTATGTTATAATATGATATATCATATATTTTAGTTTTTCTATTTAATTTATTTACAAAAAGAGTTTAGAATACTTCATAATTTATAACAAAAGTATAATATAAGAAAATTTATAAATTACAAAATTACCGTGATAATTAGCTGAGAAAGCTAAAAAAAAAAAAAAAGAAGAAAATCCACTTAATTGAATATAATTTTTTTTTTTTTGAAATGTGTAATATTGAAAGAAGAATCGAATAAGAACTTTTTCGAAAGAGAAAATTTGAATTATTAAATTATTAGTCTTTTTTTAAAAAAAATATCATGAAACTTTTTGGTCTTTTACATTCTAGAAATGAAATTATTTGCACTTTTCTCTCTCTTGTTTGTTTTTTTTTTTAACGTCATTTATACCAAACACAATATTTCGGGATAAAATTAGAAAAATATGAGAGAAGAATATTTAGGGATAGAATGAAATTAACACTTCGCTAATTGCGTGAAAAAGACAACCTTGTAGAATCTAATGTTTTGACGATTCTGTGCTAAAATAAGGAAAGAGTTAACGTAACCACCTCTAGAGAGCAAGTCAAAACAAAGGATGCGCAATAACGTGTTCCTTTAATTGCAATTTTGATTTGTTTGGTCAGGAAGACTCCCTCTCGTCTGATCACAGATGGCCCATCTTCAGAATTTATTACGCGGTAGTTTAACATGTAAAGTCAACAATATCAACTGCTTCGATTTTAAGTATTGAGCATAAACCTCTTAAGAGAATTCATTTTATGTTTTTTTCTGGGGGAATTAAGGTCATCGAATTTAATATTAAGAAGAAACGTAGCTGTCTATTGTTGCCACAAGGCTAATTCTCGAGGGAATGTTGACCTGCTCATTGCATCCACCTTGATTTGATTTAATACTCTGTGATCGTCACAATATTTCTCATGGTGCTCATATCTTCATATGTTGTTAGTCTGAGATTGCCAATAATTTCAATACATTAGAGGTTGGGATTCTTCAAACTTGTTGGTTTAACTGATATAGATATTTTGTTGGTACATGTATTTTATATTTTATCTTGTAGTTTTGACATTTAAACCGTTTAAATTTTAAAGAATGCGTGACAATTCTTCCAATTTAGATCCATCAGAGCTGAAGAAACATTTAGATAGCCTTAAAAGAGTAACAAAATAAGACAAATTATACCATGTTGATCAAATTTTCTGAGCATTTTCCAAGTCTTGGTTGAACTCGAAAGTTTGGTGTACAAAATTACAACATAAACCAAATTTGATGTAATCAAAATTGTGATCGATTTTTGACAGGTTCATTGAAAAATATGGAACACATATTATTGTGGGGTTGAGTATTGGTGGCCAAGATGCGGTTCTGGTCAGGCAAGACAAATCTTCCAACCTCGGTCCATCAGAGCTGAAGAATCATTTATATGACCTTGGTGATCAATTGTTTACTGGGAAGTGCAATTTTACTCCAAAAGCTAGAGATCACAAGTCTAAGGTTATTAATCCCGTCCCATACCAAGTACATTTTTTGTTTGTTTATTTAATTTTTTCTATCCTGATTAACGTTGTCCTAGTAATTCAATTGGGCTATCAATTGCAGGCACCGCAGGCTTTCAATGTCTTTGATCCACCACCCGTTACCTTCGATAGCTTCTCATCCGTCAGTAGCACTAAAGATGTACGTTCCACCGTTGCAAATAATCATTTTAATTACCTAGACAATAAAATATCGGTTCAATGCTAATGCTGTCATGACACAACATTTTTTTACACCAATTGGAAATACGAGAAAAATGGATAGCTATAATTTAACATTCATCATGATTCATGGCCCAGAGAATTTAACATCTTGTCCCCAGCCCACATTTATTTTCAAAGCGGATACGATCACAATATGCATGTACAAGATCTAATTAAGTCACCATCCTTTTCTTTTCTGTATAATTTTCCATCATACTAACAAAAAAAAAACAAAAACAAAAAAATCCAATAGGGCATGGCCCTTTGTAAATTATAAAATCTCACATTGAAGTAGGGAATTCATTTTTTCAGGGAATCACTGTTCTATGTGCCAAGAAGGGAGGTGATACAGCAGTAAGTAGTCACTATGATTGGCTTCCGACAGTTTCTTCCATGCCAGATGCAATTCATTTTAGCTTCATACCCATAACGTCTCTCCTTAAAGATGTTCCTGGCAAAGGTTTCTTGTCTCATGCTATCAATCTTTATCTTAGATGTAAGTCTGCCATTTGTTGTCGCTCTTTACTGCAATCGATAATAAGCACAAAAAATAGAATTTGAGTGTTGTTTTTTTTTCTTGAATCCACTCTCTTGTGAAACTGATTTTTCTTTTTTATTTGATTGCAGACAAGCCTCCTATATCTGATCTGCATTATTTCCTTGACTTCCAATCTCACAAGATTTGGGCCCCGGTTCACAATGACCTCCCACTAGGCCCTTCCACGAATGTGGCAAGTTCGTCTTCAGCTCTTCACTTCTATTTGCTGGGCCCTAAACTATATGTCAACACTAGTCAGGTAGTACCTAGACGGCTAAACCTGTCATTTCCTGTTATGAATTTTCATAATTTTTTGCTTGTTTTTTACTTAACTGTGCTCTGACCGTACAGGTTACTGTTGGAAAGAGACCAGTAACCGGAATGAGATTTTATCTTGAAGGCATGAAATGCAACAGGTAACAGTCAAAAGCTTATGAAAACTTTTAAAATACTCCTCTGAAAATTAAGAATTTTCTTGGCTATCATTTATCTCGGCCAATTGGAGGATGAAGATGGTTGTGGGGCATGGTCTTGATCATAAATATACATGTCTTATGGTACGCATTAACGAGGCCTGTCCCTTTTTCAGGTTAGCCATACACCTCCAACACATAACAAGTACTCCAACAATTCTTGAAAACAAGATAGATGACAGTATGCAATTATGGCGAGGATCCGATGACATTGATAATGAAGGATACTTTGAAGCTATATATCGAAAAAGGTTTTCCCATGTATGCACAGCACCAGTAAAATATGACCCCAAGTGGAGCACTAGAAAAGATGTAGCCTACATTGTCACAGGAGCTAAACTTCAGATAAAGAATCATAACTCGAAGAGCGTCCTCCATCTTCGGCTACTGTTCTCCAAGGTTTCATATTCTTTTATAGTTCAGTCAAGCTGGGCACAAGGCTCTTCAGGATTTTCACAGAAGTCCGGCCTCTTCTCAGCCCTAAGCACGTCGATAGCAGGCAATCCTGCGAAAGACGAACCTAAGCGTGTGGTGGTGGATTCCAGCGTGTTTCCATCAGGGCCTCCAGTACCAGTGCAAACACAAAAGCTTTTGAAGTTCGTAGATACATCACAGTTGTGTAGAGGGCCACAGGATAGTCCAGGACATTGGCTAGTTACGGGGGCTAAGCTGGACTTGGATAAAGGGAAAATAAGCTTGCAGGTTAAGTTCTCCTTGTTAAACGTCTATTCATGAAAAAAAAAATCAAGGTGCAAACAAGAAGTCAAGACGAATTTCCTAGTGTGAAATTTCTTTTTTGAACTCAAATAGAACTTCTAAATTGTCCTTGCCGCCTCGCAAAAATATGTACATAGAATGGTTGCTTTACAGTTTAGACTGATGAAATTATTTTGTGCACATATGAAAGTGTATAAGAAATATTAGTAGCTTCTTTTTCGAAGGAGACATCAAGTATATGGAAAAATTTTAATGAGAGCGAAGGTTGATGGATCAATCCACTAGCTTCTTTCCTCATTCTGCAATTTGTACGGGTTTTTTTTTTGTCAATACATCCATGTTAATAAAAAGACATTGTGATAACCCTTATTAGAAGAAAATATTATATATTTTCCTAACATTTATCTAATATATTGTTATACACGTCATTTGGGGTTCCTAACACGCAGAAGAGTTAGTTATAACAAAATTACATAAACTGTGCTTCTTAATTGTTAAGAAAAGAATGAATAGTTATAGAAAAAAATGAGACAAGATCATGATAATAGAGTATTGCAACACAAAAATAAGAAGCCACAACAGAACATAAAGCACTACAAAGGATCATGGAGCACTACAAAAGATCATGGAGGAGCCAAGATCCTATAAATACAAGCTACAACAAAGGAAAATGATAAATAAAAAATCAATAATCAACTCAACAATATTTGCAAGAAGCAAGAAAGCATTATCTCAAGTTTCAAATGAAACTTATTAGACAATGGATTGTATGCTGATCATTGGTAGGCTGATAGTCTATAGGTTAATAGGTTTGTTCTTTGTTACTATATTGTAGCTACAACTTGAGTTCATAATCCTCAAGAACTGAATTTCTACGTAAATATCATCTATGGAAGAAGAATCTCAATTTGTAAGCACCATTTCTCATTAATGAATGAAAGGTTTTTTGTAAACTTTGTTTAGTACTTCATCTTTTGTTTTAAAGTCATTTTAATTGAGGTTGGCACAAAAGAATCCATAACAATTTTGGCGATCACACTTAGAGTGTCGGTCATATTTTTGATATGACTCCAAATTATCAAGGTTTTAATGCAAAAAAAAAAAAAAAAAAAAGTCATTCTAAAAGATTTCAACTTTTGAAACACCTTATCTAAGCAATTCTCTAAAAAGAATTATAGTGATGAGAATCACATTTACGATAGAGGAAAATAGCCATTCCATAAGATGTTAACTTATGGACCTTGGAAAGAATTGAATAAAAAAGTTCATGATGTTCTAAACTCTTGAGGGAGGCCTCGCAAAGAAATAGATATAAAGCATAAGGTCTTTGCTCACCAATTAGAATAACAACATAAGCTGAAAATGGAAGCCATAGAAAATCACTAAAAGGAATTAAAGTTGGCTTTCAGAAGAAAATACTGCATGCAAAGGCATATAATGATTTCAATGAGGATGTAGGAAGTTATGATGGAAGATGCAATTTATCATTTAAATCTAGACCTCCTACACAAAGACTTCAAGTTATTGGAGAAATTACTCATCTTATAAAAAAAAACCCTTTGCGGATCTAAATATTAATTCTATAAGGATTAAAAGCTCTAATTACAAGTAGGGGTGATCAAATAATTTTTTGATTCGGTTTCTATGAAGTTCAATTCGGTTAATCAAATTAACAAGAATAGAAATCAAAACTAAACCGAACTAAAATTTGGTACTTCGATTAAAAAATCAAAATTTTGGTTTCGACTTTCGATTTATTCCATCAAAATTGCATTTATTATTATTATTTTTTTTGAATGGGTCGTCATAACCCAATTTTTTCCTTTAAAGGAAAAAAAAAATAGAAACAAAAAAACAAAAAAAAACAAAAAAGGAAAAAAATATAAAATCTCCATAAAATCATTCAAAAATCTATTGAAATCTTCCACAAATCTTTTTTTAATTAGAATCTCCTTATTTTTAGCTAGAAAAATCTCAAAATTAAGATTTGATAATTAAAATTTGAATTTGAATTGATTTTGGGAGAGATTTTAGGAGATTTCGGCCTATAAAAAAGCTTTCGGATTTTAATTTGCTTGGGGGAGAAAAAAGAAAAAAACACGACCAAAGAAAAAAAAACACAAAGAAAAAATACCGAAAACCTAAAAAGAAAAAGCCAAACATGCCCTAACCTAATAACGAGACCCGATTACCCGTTTACCCAGTCGAAACTTTTGAGCCTCAATTGATCGTTTTTCGATCAGATTTTAACCCCGATCAACACACCCACGTGTAGCCCATCACTAGATCAGTCCATCAACATCGATTAGAGAAAGAAAAAATCACAGAGGAGAGAGAAATCGAAGATCAAACAACCACGACTCGACCCGAATAAATACCCGATCGTTTCTCTCAACTCCGATCACCAACACAAGATCTACCATCACGGACCCGATCATCGTCTCCCCGAGTATTTCCGATTAAAGGTCCCAACCCAACGACATTGAAAAACGATTTAATTGGACTCGACCCGTTTTGATAAATCCGACAAAATTGACTAATCTAGAAGGCGTTGAAGGTTCTAACCACCACATACATCTTTCTCTCAACCTCCCGAGTCAACCGGTGGGCTTAGAATTCCGAGAGGAGGTCGGATTCATCACCGATGAAGAAGGGAGATCCGATCGGACCTTTGGAGGCTCCGATCTCCCTTCTCCGACGTCGTCTCCGGATGAGACCACCATCGCTAGACTCGCCGTAACCGGATCTATAAGGTGGGGTGGTCCATGTGCTCAAAAGGTCACCGAAAGGCGAACAGTCATTTGGTAATGACTCTTGGCATTCCAGGGGCATTTTGGTAATTTTATAATATATGTGAATTTTGGACTCGTTTGATTTATTTTATGTGTTTTGTAGCTTTTTTTTTATTATTTTACTTATGTATGTTAGAAAATTTGAAGATACATATTTGTGAAATTTATTTTAACATGATATTTTTTATGATTAAAATATTATATCAACGAGTCTCCTATTTATTAGGGACGGACGATGATTTCAATATACTTAATTTTTTGAAATTTGTTTCAATTGATTATAGTATATTAAAATTTTAAAGTTTTCTTTAAAAAAATAAAAAAAATTTTTTTTTTTGACGAAGTCTCCTTTCTAATAGGGCCGACGTCACCAAAAATCTAAAATTCTCGACGAAGTCTCCTATCCGATTGGGACCGACGTCATAAACAATCATTGTTTAAATCAAGATATCCTCTAACACACTGGTTGTGTTAAGGCTTAAAGTGGATATGATGTTTGAATCTACGTGTCGCTCAACGAAGGGACCGACGATCGTTTCAATACGATGCCACGCTCAAAACTAAAAAATTCAATTTGAAAAAAATGAGAGATTAAGAATCAAAAAATAATTTGACGTAAATAAAATATTTTAGGAGATAAATTTAGAGCTAAACCGAACGTGGTATCATTTTTCGAAAAGAGCACTTTTGGGTGATCGATATCTTACCAAAAGCATAACCAACTCGCTTACTATAGAATCTCCGAACCAATGTCCGTTTTAGGTTTCTAGTTTCTTCAATACTAGATGGCGACTCCAAACTCTATAAATAAACTTGTAAATTTTTAATCTAATTTTAGATATTTTCGAGGAGTCCGTCCGACGTCGTGTAGCGACGGAATGACGACTCCATCGGGGACTAGAGTTAGGCCATAGGTTTAGTTTTTAATTTATCTCCTATGTTTATTTTTGTCATTTTATTTTCTGAATTTTTTTATTTTATTTTTGTATATATTTAAATTTTTTTGTTTGCATGTTTATTTTTGAATTGGGTTGTACTCTTTTTCTTTTAATTGTTGCACACACCACGAAGGAAACCTCTAAAAGCTCGGACCCGAGTTGAACATAATAGGAATTAGATAGAGTGATTTGGAGGCGAGTATGACGAGAGTCTACCGATGCTCTTCCGGACTCTTGTTTGGATTGAAACTCACCCTATACATCGAAATTATGGAATGACCTTCCCCTACCTCTAGTGTATAAGGTTAGAGGTTGGATTACCCCATTGGTAATTTAGACGAGTCTAGAAACTTGAAATATCTTTAGGACTAGTCAAGCTTTGCCCAATCATAGAAAAACTAGATCTTGTCTATTAGGATTGACTCGATTAAGACACGAATCATTGTCAAATGATATCGATATTGACCTTTGGTATTCTAAGGGTATTTTCATAATTTTTAGTAAAGGTTGTCCTTCGTATTAAATCATGAACGAAGAAGTCGAAATAAGATCGAGAATTTTGGATCGGATTTGAGCGAGCTTGAAATCATGAAGGAGATTTTCTCGCTCTTAAATTTCATGTTGAGATTACAAAAAAGTTTCGCCTTTCGTGTGCTTATAATAAGAGTGGTTTCATCATTTCAAAATCAAATCACAACTGAAATTAGGGACATACATATCTCCCTAATCGCCCAAGTATCCGTGTTGTAATTTTGCCCTCGGCGATTACTAGCTCGGTCTAACCCATCCTCGACAGGATTTTATCATGATTTAATGTGCAACAAAATAAAGAAAGATATCCAACCTAGTTCAAAATCATGCATTTACATTAAGTATTTATTTATATATATATTTTTTTGTATTTTCGAGTGAAGTAAACATAGGCCGCTCCACTCAATCCCCTCCGCGCTTCTACAACACTCGACTTCGAACTCGTCAAATGAAAAATGAAGAAAGATCACGATAGGAGGCAATCAATCCACAAAAGTTTGACTCACCGAAAGAGAGTGTGGCTCGGATGACATCCCTATTAGAATAAGCCTTAAGAGGAGAAGGTGGCTTGAATCAAGGACGAGAACAACTCAAAATATCTCATGTTGTTCCATTGCCTAATCGATCAAGGAATTCTAATCAAGTAACTTTTCGAGCTGATGGCTCATATCCTACTAGGGCATTTGCTTATCCCATGGACCCACGAGTCCCACAAATATCATATTTGCCCCCCGTAGATCTTACGGAAGAAGAAACT